CAACTGGATGGGAATGCTCTGCTAAACTCAGTTGCTCAGCTGTAAAGGCATTCTGGATACTGTACACTTTGTCAGGGTTGGCTACCGGGGAAATTGTGAAAGACACAGCCGCCCCATGAAGCTTCTCCACTTCTTGTCTGACTGTACGAAGAGCTAACACCTCTTTACTTCCTTTAAGGCCCAACTGCTTGGCAGCAGACTGAAGCAGGATGGTCCGCTCAGATCCATCGTCTAAGACGGCATACGTCTCAAGGGACTTGTCACCATTTCTYAGAAGTACCTTACTGATCTTCAGTAGCACCTTACAGTTGTAGACTGGTCGGTCGACGTACACGACTTTGTTGGCAGTGTTAACAAGGCAGCTTTCTGCTGTAGGTGGAACTGATGCTTGTTCCTCCTCTGTTCTCTCWTTCACCTCATGCAACACAAGCAGATGTCTCCTACCACAGGTTTTGCAGGGAGCTTTAAGTGTACATTTTGCCGCTTGGTGATTGCGTCCACAACGCCAGCACTTATTATTCATTTTAATCCATGTCAGCTTCTGTTCTTTGCTCAGGATCTTAAAGTTAGAACAGTTGTTCAGGAAGTGCTTGYCATTGTCACAATAGGGACAGTAGGCTGTGACCTTCTCTATTCCCCTTGACTYGTTGACAGKTCCAGGTGCAGGTGGTGCTGCTACACTATTTGATCTAGAGACCTTCTCAGTACCCAGGAGGATAGTARTAGTCTTACTTGAAGGTTTAGGAGTGCGCTTTGTGTCAGGCTTCTTGTTAAATGACTCCTCCCTCTTTGGGGGGCTTCATGCTGTCTTCCTGAACTTCTAGCTCGTATTCTAGCCAATCAGCAAAGTCAACGAGGGTAGGAATGACTACTCTGAGAGGGTGGATGAATCTCTTAAAACTGGCGTTGAGGTCATAGGGGAGTTTACTTAACAGCCTTGAAACATGAGAGCCGCAGACTAAYTCGACTTGGCCGCTTTGCCCCAGTTGTTCCAACATGCCTACTAGTGACCGGACATTGAGGGCAACAGGCGAAAGCTCTTAACATCACCACTGCGTATATTCGGACCGTCCATTAACTCTGCAATCCGTTGCACTGCAAGCTTGTGGGGCTGTCCATACATCTTCGTGAGAGCCATCATTGTATCAGTATAAGGTTGCCTTGAGTTACAGTAGTGGTAACTGGGGTAGGCCGTGGACGTCACAAGACATTATACAGACAGGCTCTGGTATCATGGCTACCTGGCTATGGAGCTCAAAGTGTGGGATCATTTCAAGAAAATGAAAGAGAAACCTGTATATCTGCAGAGTAGAACTTACCATCCACAGAAATTATTTTTAGTTAGCATATAGCTAAAATCTAACGATGGTTATATAATAGCAGCTGCATTCTGACGTGATAAGCTCTGTTTTATATTCAATTAACGTATGATCCAATTAGTGGACTAATCGAATAAATAATCGGTGATTAATCGACTATTAAAATAATCGTTTGTGGCAGCCCTAGTTAACATGCTTATGAAGAACATGAAGACAAGCTAAAGTGCAGAGAAACAGCTAAAACATGCAGGATTGGACACCACAAACCGAGATCAACCTACTCCTTAACAGACTGCACATGGTCCATCATCT